GCCTTACAGGTGCCATAATCCTGTGGCCATTAAACATACAGAAGTGAAAACAGTGTTCAGGAAGGAAGAGTCACGGTACTGGCTGAAGGTGATAAGTTCAGAAGAGCCGTTGTGACTTTTTCTGCAGTCAGGACTTCTTTGCTACCTTAAAAAAAAAGTAATCAATTGGAAATACTGAAGCAGCTTATTGTTACTTCAGCCAAGATGTTATAACTTAGACAAATAGATTACAAATCTGTGCAAATCTTTAGCGATATTACACTAATTTCAAAAATGCAAAGTTTTGCAGTTTCTGTATTTCCATTAAGGAACAAATGCAATTAAAATTGCAGATCAATACTTTTGTTCATTCGAATACTCGGAAAAGAACATGGTAGCATCCGATGTAAACACCTAATATACATTTACATTTCAGCCACGGCAGTAGTGGGCATCATCGTCCTCCAACTGTATCATGTCTTCTTCTCTTCTTACAAGGTAGTAAGGTCCAATTGCAGATCATGTCACTTATGTGAAAGTGTTTCCATAGCAGTTTTGTGAAATATAAAAATTTCAATACAACAGAAGACCACCTTGTCTAAGCGTAAACATTTTTTTAAAAAAAGACATCAGTTTTTTTTCTAATCCATCCCTGCTTATTCCATCAGGGCTGCGGTAGGCACGGTCCCTATCACTGGCAATATTTGGGCGAGATTCAGGGTACATCCTGGGTAGGTCAATGGTTAAAGGAAAAGCAACTATTGACGGTGGGACAATTAAGTCAATGCTTTGGAGAAGCAATCACTAAACACTCATCTCTGTCCAACAAATTATTCATCCTGTTTCTGCAAAAAAAAAAGGGTTTGAGCATGGCATCTGCCTAACCCAGCCAGTTAGAGCATACATGAATTGTATGGCGATCTCACCTTAAATAGTTTTTTGTTCATGACTATAGTGATACACGCCCATTGAGGTAGTTTGAAGCCTATTTTTTGTACAAAACTAAAGGGATAAACGCAAATCTAACATCTTGTGCATGTGTATTGACTATGGGTATGCTGGGCTGACGTGTGAGGAGGGATGGGCCAAAACTTTAGCAAAGTCTTGGAAAAAGCTTGAAGGATACTGCGAATGACTGACTCAAGCCATACGGTTTTAAAAGCAAGTTTACGGAATAAAACAGTATTCTGAAATCAAAAAATATGTCAAATTTATTCTTTTACGTTATTTTGCCATAAAGCAAATACAAATAAGTTTAATAAACAAGGAGAGAAAAAGCTTTATCTGATTCAAGCCCTTTCGTTGATTAAAACAGGATAATCTTGTTGCATTTCCATGCTTTGTGTACGCAGCAACACCATGCATTTCCACTAAATAAAAGCAAAACAAACCAAACAGCACCATTTAAAAATAGATTCTAGATCACGTGTGCAGTATGATTTAGCATTGGAACAGGGAGCATTTCTGCCATAAAGTAACTAACTGTCACTTAATATTTACTCAATTAAAATTGGCTCAATTTGATTTGATTTTTCTGATTACACAGACCATGTTTCTGTGCTGTAGTGATGCAGCCTTCTAGAAGAGAATAATTTAACTTATTAGCCATGCCAACACCCCAAAGCACCACTTCCACCACTGATTGTAAGAGTATAAACAGAGCTATGTCACAGATACCGGCCAATTAAATGCAACCAAGTGGCAGTGAAGATCCACAGCGTGTTAAAGTGACATACCCAGATTTTAAATGCTAGCTTTAGATCTCTGTTTAGGGTTGTAAATAGTTGTTTTACATATTTTATTTTATTCTATTTATATTTATTTTTTATCTATTCAGTAACTTAAACACATGTTCAGCTTCAAAGGGGGGATATTCTTCATTTATATTTACGAGCAGTTTAACTGAACGTCCTATGTAGCTAATTTAGCTAAAACGATAACTACAAGGCTTTTGATGCAATTTTACTTTAGTTTTTCTCCAAATGTTCTTTAATCGATGTTTCTTTATGGGCAAATCTAATGATGAACAGTAGCAATGAAAGATGGACAGGGAGAGAGTATGTATATTTTTTTATTGTTCATATATTTAATCGCTGATGTGACCGGAACTACGCCACTCTGAGGACACTAGCTCCCCATATTAGCGTCCTATTTTTTGCCCGGTAGCTTTGTGCCGCTAAAAGGCTAGGCGAAGCGCTTCCGGCTGAAGGCTACGCTACGTAGCATCCAAAACCCCTCTGGAAAAGTCTGTGCTCTCTGGACCGAGTCAGATTGCCTTTTCCTGCGATACAGAAGGAGCTGAACGCAGTATTTTAACTCCTCCTGCGATTCAAACCGAGTGAACGCAGTGTATCCTGCTGTAGCAGAGACAGAGAAGAGCTAATCCAGCTCTGCCAACCACCGAACAACGGGAGCACTGATCGCTGTTTGCCGAAGAATCCATTAAAAGCAGCCGTAACATCACTGCCTGTGAGACGGAGGGACTGAGCAGCGCCGCGGCTACGTGCTAAAAGGCAGATGTCCCACGTGCTACCGTGAGTTATAAAATTAACCCCCTTCGCAAACTGCCTCTTATTGTTGCATCAGATTAATCCAAACCTCTTTGAGTTGCTGTTGGACGAACGGACTGGACCGAAGATGGGCCTACAGAAACCGGACTGAGCCGAAGGCCTTCCCTCCACTGAACCAAAAACAGTAACTGCACCTCCTTTCCATCTGATGCTTAATAAGTGCTCTGCTTGGGTGCACTACAGGTAGATAGCCGTGTTAGTGTTTTTATTTGAAATAAGCTTTCTGATTCAACTGCTGATGGTTAAACGTTTAACGGAATGCTAATGCTCACCACAGACCGAACGGGTCATGTGTTGCTGAAGCTAACCGCTAAATCGTGAGCTAACCCTCTCTTTGTTTCAGTTGGACCCGACCAGAACCAGAACCCCTGGTGTCCAGCTAAGCTAACGAGTCTTTCAGCTTCATCATATTTTAATGCATTCCTGAGTCATAAACAGAATTAAACTTCACTGTTTTGACTGTAGGTAACATCTCTGTGTCAGGGTTTATTTACATTTTATCTGCTGCTATTATAAAGGACACTTTCAAATGCATTAAGCCTTAAACTTGGAACATCACAGACTTTGAACTTACTTTTAAACCCCTCTTCCCCTTTTATTTCTGTAATCTTGCTTTTTTTTCAGTAGTGTTAAGTGTTTTGCTTAGTTCTTAGATACAATACTGTGTGATTTTATCTAATAAAGGTAACGTTGTATTTTTAACCCGTGGGCTTTTGTGTTCATGTTACACTCAGGTTGGATTCACTTTTCTTTCAGTAGCATCCGAATTAACAGAGACACTTTATTTGGTTGGTGATTAATAACGTTGCTAAGAGCCATAGCCTGAATTACTAAATTGTTGAAAGACAATTGGATTTTTAACAGCCGGATTCAGGAGTCCAACCCTTTTAGGAAAAGGTTAAAACCCTGGTCAGTAAGCAAATTACAGTTATAATCATTCAACTGATAATAAATAACTAGCTCCACCCTTGATTTGAATGACCTATTAATTAACTAACTTCTAGTTCTAGTTATTTAATATATTCATAATCTTGTGGTAAGCTGAATGGCAAAGCAGCAGCTATAACATTTCCTGGGAATTCCCTCTGAGGAACAAAAAGAGTTATGCGTGTGAGAAAGAGAGAAGCGAAGGAGATATAAAGGGAGATTTCAGTCGCTGTTGTAAGAAAGAAAAAAGACCCATCAGGACAACAATCAGGTGCAAAGAGATAAACACAATGTGTTGTGCTTAGTTTCTTATTATCAAATCTTTAACCCTTGAGTTTGTCATTTCTTAGTTATATGTGGTACTGTAGTAATAGTCCAACAGGACTAATACAAAGTTGCACCAGTTACCTTATTATAAAATGATTTAAAATAAATGGCACTGAATTTATTTCTGATTAATTTTCTGAAAAACTGAGAAGAAATTTCAATAAAAAAAAAATGTCTTACAACATTTGAAAAAAGGTTACAACTTATTATGTGATGGAGCTGCTAAACCTTTAATATCTGTTGTAAAACAAGATAAATACTTCCAAAAAAGGTGGAGGAGGAAGCTTACCTTTCAAAGAAGGACATTGAGTTGCTTAATGAACAACATATCTGTTCTGGCTATCTTTTTAACCATCTTTAATGTGTTTTTTTTTTTTTACTCATTTCAAATTTAAAAAAATGAATAAAATATACAGAAGAACATTTTATAAAACATTTTCTTCTCAGTTGCATACCTCATGTCAAAACCTGTGATGTCTGCCCCCCTCCCCTTCTCCTTTAGGCTACTCCAGGAAGCCACATAACCTGATATATGTATCTGGTTAATATGATCATGATAAGCGTATAAATAGAACAACATTGCCATCTGAGCAAAATGTTTATGATCAGAGCTGAACACTGGGTCACAGACAAACACTTTGCATGCAATCTGCAGCTTGAACCTCCCTGTTAATCATTGATGTGGAGCTCAGGCCCTTACACCTTGCACTGTGCCCTGTTACACTCAGTGACACAGTCACAGGGTTGCCAAATAAACACGCGGAAGGTAAAAACGGAGAAGCAAAACATAACAGTTGCGGTCACATGAAAGACTTTAGCAGACTGTTTCAATTGGCAGAGGGAAGCAAAAGCAGAAGCTTAATGATATTTTCAGGTAAGATTCCAGAGCGGAATTTTCTCCCCACACCCCCCGAACGCATCCCACCGAGACAGGTGCTGCAGGGAGTGGGGAGAGAAGTTGGGGGAAGTTACATAAAGTCATGGAGAAGAAGGAAGGGTGAGGAAAACCGGCTTGACTAGAAGTCAGCACAACACATTTAAGCTCTGCTGGCAACTTTATGGGACTTTTCTTTTAAAGCAGAGTATCGCATGAAGTGACGCACCGCCTGTGCGCACCTGGTTATAAAAACACTATCTGACCCCTGGTGTGTTTAAAAAGCATGTGCAGAATTAGAAGGGGGTGAAAAGGGGTCTCACCTCATCCCATCTGATGAACTTGCTCCCCCTCTTGAGCTCTTCGTGGACGCTCACGGGTTTCAGCTGCAACGCGTGGACTCCCGGCTTGGCCCCGGCCATGACGCGGGACTCCCCTGGCCCGGGTGCCAACGCCTAGACCCCGGCTGCCTGGGAGAGTAGCAATAAGCTCCTCGCTTCTACAACCTTCCCGTTTTTATTTTGCCTCCCCCCTTTTTTTCCCACTTTGAGGCCCCTTAAAAGTTGCGGAGGCGCATGTGGAGCCAGATCCACGGACACGGACAGGACCCACCGCCGCTGTCTTGTTCTCGTCCGCGTCCACGCACCGCGGTGACGCGCCTGGTCTTCTCTCTACCACCAGCTTTGGTTCATCTATTTAATTATTTGTCCTTCTGAAATAGCGTTGGAGATCCCTTTTCCTTCCTCCCGTCCATCTGGCCGACTCTAACAACTTTCTGCGCTTCCTTACTCTCTTGTCGCCTCTGAGGCGTTTCTTCTTCTTTTCTCCTCCTCCTCTCCTACCAGCATGTTTTCTGTGAGAAGGAGGAAAAAAAGAGAGGGGGGGTTATGAGAGGGGAGCTGTGAAGGGAGACGGGGAGGAGGAGGACGGCGTCAGATAGCGCTGAGTGACAGAGAAATGAGAGTGTGAGAGTGGAGTTGTACGGAAGAGTATTAGGGCCACTGGAATAAGAAAA